CACATCTCCTAATCCTTCCTAAACATTTCACCAACTGGGAATTAGCATTCAAATATATGAGCCCATGTAGGCAATTCTTATTCAAATCACTACAGCTGGGGTACCCCAAAAAGACAGTCTAGAGAAGAGAGAAAAGCACTCATATCCTCTGTTATTGATGGGAGAATTTATTTATTTCTTTATTTTTAATATGGTAGTTTTCTTTTTTTATTAAGAATTTTTTTATTCATCTTACATACCAATCATAGATCTTCCCTTCCCTCTTCCCACCCCTCCAGCCTTCCCCCACCCCATTTCTGATGGGGGAATTTATAAGCACCATCGGATTCCACTACTAACCCTGTGAGGTGGATACCAGCATACCATTTTATACAGATTGGCGGTGAGGCTAAGCCTAAGGACAGAAGAGATAAAGTGGTAAAGCTGGAGGGAGGGGTTCCAGGCTACTGGCCTGCAGAGCCATTGCCAACCTACCTTCTCAGGAAAAGGCAAGCGTGACCGTGACACAACTCCAAGAGGAATCCAGGAATCAGAAGGTGCATGGATGAAATGCTAAAATACGAGCGATTTTTTTTTTTTTTTTTTTTTTTTGGTTTTTCGAGACAGGGTTTCTCTGCGTAGTTTTGCGCCTTTCCTGGAGCTCACTTGGTAGCCCAGGCTGGCCTCGAACTCACAGCGATCCGCCTGGCTCTGCCTCCCGAGTGCTGGGATTAAAGGCGTGCGCCACCACCGCCCGGCTTAATACGAGCGATTTTTAAGATAGCTTCTCTTACTTCAACCTGGGAAAGAATTAATTATGCTTTTTCTACTGTTTTGTGAGTTTCTTGGAATCTTTCCTTTGCCACTGCTTGCCTCAGCCTTATGTTTTGTATCAACACATTGGACTCGTTAATTATTCCCAAAGCCAAGACCGAAATGATTTCTCCATCTGCTTCAGCTTGGAGCTGGGCCTTTTAGAAGCTAGCGAGGCCGTGACACGATCCTCCCTTTGCCATCGGGTTTCTTTAGACAGTGTTGTTTTAGGACAGCCTTTGGGATGTGCTCAGCCTTTCCACAAAACCTCATTCTCAGTTTACGTCTGCTACAGCTAAGCCTAGGTAGGATGGCTGACTTTTCAGACGAAATGGCGGACAGGGTAAGAAAACAGGAAAGTGAGCGCTTCCTAATGAGCCTTTTCCTTCTCTTGTCCCTTTCTGTTTTTGACTTGTTTGAACATGGATGCTTCTTTGCTTCATAACCCTTGTTATCTCACACATTACACGCAGCTGTGCCCTAGGGAACAAGACTCACTGACATGTTTCGTGGGGAGCATCTCCCTTAAGATATTAACCTTACTCAGAAGGGCTCTTATTATGGAGAGTAGTTTCGTAACACTGATCTTAAAAATTGGATGTCACCATTTTATGTAGCATGGAGTTTGTGGCTAAGCATGGAAGCCATTTCTATAAATAGCTCACCAGAGAGTATTCAGCAGTTTGCGCTGGGGGAGGGGAGTAAAGAATGAGATGTCACCACTTAATGACAAGGTATGCACAGGTCTCAATTATCTGTGATAATGGGGAGAGTGACAGCACAGGTCCTGGAGAGACCTGAAGGAATGCATGATGAAGTTTGAATCTGTCCTTTTTGATTCTTGGCATTGAGGGCAAACATTTTTACTAGAGTGAAATTTTAGATTGTTTGTAGATTTCAATCATAAAGCTATTCCCATTCCTGTTTCCCCTCAGTGACTGAAAGTTGACTGTTGAAAATCAACAGATAAGGAGCTGTTATACTTAGAAGATAAAGACACTTTAATCACACTGTCTATGAATATATAATGCCCAAACAATGGCACAATTTTTTCTTCCATCGAGTTGGATAAATGTTGGTATTTTGTGAACAAAAGCAAATCAAACACTTTCAATAAAATTACTAAGGTATTTATTCAGGAAAAGTCTGAATAGATGTGATGATGCTCAGAACTGAAATGGATTGAGTTTGTCACTGTCTCTCAAACACTTGTAAGAAGCCAGAGTCAAGTCAGTAGTTCAAGGTGGTGGCTTCTTTAGCAATAGATGACATTTTCCTGTTTATGTCAAGAGTTTCCAGTAACAATTCAAAATCTGGATAAAACTACTCCGTGCTTCTGTTTTCTTACTTTTTATACACAAACATGTGACTTAATTGGTATATCAGTCAACTTTTCACTGTAATGAAATACCCAAGGTAGGCTACTTTACAAAGAAAACAGGTTTATATAGCTCACTGTATACTTATTTTTACAGGCTAGTACCAGAGGAATCTGAGTAGCATGGGCCAGGCTCTGGTGTAGATGTACCTGAATAATGTCACATCATGGTAGGTGTGTGTGTGTGTGTGTGTGTGTGTGTGTGTGTGTGTGTGTGTGTTGGTCTGTATGTGTGTGCATTTCTATGTCTCTTCTACTTTTCATAAAGCCATTGGGGTAATCACAGGAGGTCGACTCTAATAATCTTATGTAATCCTAATCACTTCCTAAAGGCCTTACCTTTGAACATATTAGGCAGAATGAATTTTCACATTCTTAGTATCATATGTCTCTGGGGCCTGAACTCCTGTGTGAGTTTGGGCTAGGGGGAAGACTCTATTTATACCTCAGCAACTGGTTAGCACAAGTGCTTTTGGGTATGAGCTAAGAAAATCTTTTAGAAATTAGCAATTTAAAACGAGACCATAACATTAAAACCAAAAGACAGAGGACATCACGTCTGCCGGCTATGACATTCATATTCAACTAAAGCTCTAACGAAATAGCTACTTTAGAGACAGAATCACGTTCAGTCTCGAGGCTAGAGGTTCAAAGACTTTCATTCATGCAATGTGGCCAGAAGGTAGCCTCAGACAACTTTAAAATTTAGCAGCCTTGATGCCTCTCTTGCAAAATCTCAAGTCTGAAGACTCCTAGCCCGCATCAATCTCCTTCCCCTGGCACTTGATCTGTAATTAGGCACCACCCCCCTCCCCAAGCTAATATCATTTCCCAAACTTCTCTCCCTGTAATTCTAGAATGATGTCTCATTTGCTGTATCTTTTGGCCAGCCACATCAATAACTGTTTGCTTTTCCAGGCTAGAATGGAAAGCAGAAGAAAAGAAAATCAATATAACCCCATTCCCTTTGGGTAGACTACCACGCTCACGTGCTTTGAATAATTTTTAGTACGGTTTCTTGGGTGGCTGAGATACTACAGTAGCTTTGTTTTCTTTAAATCAATGAATAGCTTATACTGCATTATCAACTTGGATGAAGGGCTCTATGTCAAAAGCTTGGTCACCAGCTTGTGGGACTATTGAGTCACAGTGCAACATTTGGGAGCCGAAGACTAGCAGAAAGAAATGAGGTCAGCGGGAGCACGCTCTTGAAGGTTATATTAGGACACTTGTTCGCCTCTCCTGCTCCCCCTCTGGCTACCTTCCGTCAGCTGAGCACCTTTACTTTACAACCACATCTGATATGATGATGATCTCCCCTCAGACCCAAGGAACCATGCATGGAAGCCTTGGAAACAGGGAGCCCAAGCTTCTCTTCCTCAAGTTAATTTTCTCAGACATTATGTCACATAGACAGAAAGCTGACACATAGGAAACAGGCTTCTTTCCTTACAGAAACACCTAAATGTGACAAAAGTCATTTCAGAATTGCAACTCTGTGAAAAGCAACTTTCTGGACAGTTGTTCTATCAACATGCCTTCAGTGCTTCATATTACCTAACTGAGGCCAACTGTCTAGTATGGGCAGATGCGTGCTTGGTACTTGGGCTGTGGTTGTAAATGCACATTGGGTTTCAAGGATTTATAATCTGTAGCCTCATTAATGACTTCTTAAAATATTGACTACATGGTTAAATGATATTTTTGATGCATTGGCTTAAGTAAAATATGATATCAAATTTGCCCATTTCTTTGTAATTAAAACAGTATGGCCTCTAGAAAATGTAAAATTACATATGCAGTTTGTGGCTTTCTTTATAGTTCTGGGGCTTAGCATGGGTAGCAATGGCTGCCCAGCAATATGGGAACACAGCTTATGAATCTTTGAAAAGGGTTGTTAAATGATAGGTGCCTGCTAAATAAAGCAGGGAAGGCATCAGGTGGAGGTCCACCTCAGGGCTACCTCAGAGGACAACAAAGAGCTACTCAAGGAGAGGAATAGCACATGTATGTCCTGTGTGGGGAAACAATCCACAACAAAACATGGTTTGAGGTGAATGGCACCTAGGTGTCCTCTTGGGATTTGAAGATGGTAGTTTACATGATTGAGATGAGGCTAATTCTTGAAGAAATTATCCTAAAGTGTCTTTAGAAGTATGGTAACATCATGGAGTTTCTTCTGTAGTGTAGAAAGAATCAATATAACAAAGAGGAAGAAAAACTTATCCAAGCCACCTTTGAGAACTGAGTCAAGGGAGGAAAAAAAACACAAAGTAAGGAGATTAGGCTTGCAGACTGTGGGTACATGCACGGTTTTGTGTCCATTTGCTTGACACCCATCATGCAGGTAGATCTAACTCCGTTCTTCTCCTGTAGGGACTAGCGAAGACGAAGCTAAGCATCTGTCCTGTCTCCCACTATGCCTTGGTAACAACTTGGATAGGAATAAGAGCAGGAGAGAAACAAGGACAGAAAACTAAAAGCCTAAGCATTTATCCTGAAAGGCTTGCTTTGGACACTCTAAACTGGCATGTTTAAAGTGTGTTCCAGACTCCATTGTGGTGGGGGAGAGTTTAAGTGTATCAGGAGGAAGAAAGAGGCAGCACTTTCTGTGAACATTTGAGTATAATTCAATATTGCAGAACAGCTTCTGTGAAATTATTTTACCTCTATGGGGCAAAAATGAAAGGCACCACACACACACACACACACACACACACACACACACACACACGCACGCACGCACGCACACACACACACACATACACACACACATTTTGCATGTAATGATACACTGAAAAATGAATGTTCTATTTGAGAGCATCAGCTAACTAAAATTCATGGAAGAGAAAGTTTTATTAGGAGTGAAGTTTTGAAAGGGAAATTAGGTCTTTGGATTGTAAATAGAGAATTCAATCATCTTCTTAAGTATGTTTTCATTTTTTTCTAGATTTTGTGTTAATCCATATACAACTTCAAAGATGCAACTTTATACCACATGTGCTGGGGTAGGGGAAGAAGATGAGAAGGATGTTCGGTTATTTCTCTCCTCCTAAACTGACTTGCAGTTTTAGTTTTTGTCTGCTTCAAAGTTTGAGGTAATAAAGGAGAATATTGTCAGCAAACAGTATTGCTGAGATGTCAAAGCGGCGCGGGGGGTGGGCTGGGGTGGGGTGGGGTAAGGTGGGGTGGGGTAAGGTGGGGTGGGTGGGTGGTGGTGGTGGTTGGGATATGACAGCAATGTTCCATATCCCAATGGATTTAATGATCTCTACTGGGTCACAGAGAGAGAAAGGGGGTGTGGATGAAAGTTGTCATGGGCTACCTCCAGCTAAGGGCTGTTCTTCTATTGGCCTCTTCCTCTGATGCAAAGATCAACCCCAGTGCCTCTCCGGAGATTAATCGATTTTAACTTTAATTAATCCAAACTGGCTTTGCAATGAAAAGAACCCTGACTGACTTGCCTTATACTAAGGATGGTGAAAACAAAACAAAACAAACAAAAAAGGAATACATTCACAAGAATCTTGGAAACACACAGTTGCTCATGGGGATTCAGTAGACACCTATGTGCTTAGGATATTGCTATTATTTTAAAAAGTGTTGACTCAATTGTTAAAAGTGCCGAGAATAAATTACTGTTTAGTAATCATCTCTGAATGAGACATGAACATCACTTTCTCCAAAGCCCATGGAGCATTACCAAAGATGGGCAGTGAGATTTGAGAGCAAGGGGATGGAGAGGAACACCATAAAGTAATACCTTTTAGATACGGTATGACCATCATCATCACAAGCTCAGAAAATGTGGCTTTCTTCACCACACACACACACACACACACACACACACACACACAAAAAAAAAAAATTGGGCTAGAAGGGGCACTAGCTGGGCAGAAGACAGTCAGGACAGGTGGTAAAAAGTTAAGAGAGGTAAGGGGGAAAATAAGATTTCAATATATTCTATACATTATGTAACTGTCAAAAATCATTATCTTTTAAAGAGTATTATTTGTGCATTATCTCCTATTTCAACATGTTAGTGAGTGTTATGGGTTGAATGTGAAAAGTTCTCCCCAGGCTCATGGCTCATGCGTCTGATCATTAACAGGCAGTGCTATTTGGGGAGCTTGTAGAACATTTAAAAGGAAGCATTTAGCTGGAGGAAGTGTGCTGTTGGTGGAGGGTGGGTGGTGCTTGACAGTTATAGCGAGGTCCTGGATCTAGCCTGAGCTCTCTGCCTCCTGGTCAGCTGAGGTGTGAGGAGTCCCAGCCCTGAGCTCCCTCTGCTGTGAACCCCATTGTGCCTTTCCTGCTTCAGACTGCATCATTTTAAACCATGTGGCAAAGTAAATTCCTCCTCCTTTAAATTTTATCTCATCAGGTTTTTGATCATTGAGAGGAGAAAAGTCATTATACCGAAGCTTGGATTCAAGTTATTAAGCCAATGAGAATATAACATAAAACCTTAGTTTCTTTGCTCAACTTTGCAGCCCAAGTCACCAATGACCCTCACTGATGAGTAACAGTTGGCTTTATTCTGCATCTTCCTCTTCTCAATGGCTTCATTCTGTGCTGCAACATCTTGGACTTGTCTTATGCTACCCCATCTCTCCTTCTCCTTGGTTCCTCTGTGTACAGAACGTGGGGTTAGATATTCAAAGACATGAATTGAGCTTAGAGCAAAATGATGCTGTGGGTCCAGTCCCAGCACTGGGAACAAAGCTCTTCATGAATGGTATGACTGTGAGGGTTTTGAAGAGAAATCTCAGATGTGGCCCATTAGTTAATCACCAACACATCTCAGGAAACATGCCGCTAATTGGAGATATACAATGACCAAGCTTAAAATAATTCTAAGCTACAGAGGCCAAACACTGTAACTACTTGAAAACACTGCTTTTCAGAATGTGATAATCTGACAAAAACAAAAACACAGAAGTGTGTTTCATTGGTGCTATGTTTCACTTAGTCACCTAAAAAATTGTTCTAACAATATTTGCAGGACTACCAAAATGCAGGCTGGGAATAATGCCAGATGAAAGTAAGCAAGCAACTGATGGTGGGAAACATGACCTTTCTATTCGTCGTATGTATAGTTGCTCACATTATGTGCACATTATAACAATCCAGGCCTCACAGTCTTCAGCCTTCTCCTCTAACGGGAATCATCTGCTTGTTGGTGCTTCATTTCAACAAACATCACTTTTTCATTGTAATGTCTAGACACCTAGAAAACTCAAATCAATGTAAAATTAGTGACAGGTGTTGTGGAATATTTAATTAGGCAAAGGTGTGTTACATTTGTTTATGCTATGGAACATTACTTTAACTGTGTTACATTTGTTTATGTTGCATTTGTTTAAGGATGTAAGGATGTGTGCTGAACTGTGTAAAGATGTGTTGCATTTGTTTTACCTTGTCTGCCTAAGGTATCTGATTGGTCCAATAAAAACCTGAACAGCCAATAGCTAGGCAGAGAAAGACTAGGCAGAGAGAATAAATAGGAGGAAAACTCTAGGCTAAAGAAAGGAGAACAGGAAGAGGTAGAAGAGAACAGGGAGAAAGAGAGGGACATGTCCAGGGGCCAGAAAACCAGGCAGCCACCAGACAGACAGACATAGAGACAGCAGGAAAGGAAAATATACAGAGTTTTGAGTTCGTCTTTTCTTCCTCTTGCTTGTAGATCAAAATGTGAGCTCTCACCTCTTCCTGACACTGTCCCTTGGCTCCACCTTCATGGACTCTGAAGCCCCGGAACTGTAAGTCCAATTAAATGCTTTCTTTTCTAAGTTCCCTTGGTCATGGTGTCTTGTCACAGGAGTAGAAAAGTAGCTAAGACAGTTTATTATTTTCATTAGTATCCAGAATAACCAGTCTCTTTCTGGCATTGCATACAGGTGTAATTTTGCATCTTGTTCATCACCAAGTCTGCTGATCTTGTCCCTCACCTTGCTGGTCCCCTTCTTCCCAAATAATCTCTCTTCTGTTTCTGTATGTAATCCACACATCTGTAGTGGGTAGCCATTCCAGCTTTGGTCTGGAAGTTCCAACCCCCATTGAGGTTTTGGTAACTATCATGCCCACAAGGCGGGGCCAAGGGAGGGCCTGAAGACCCGAGATTGGGGCGTGCCATGCTCTCTTGCTGCTGGGAGCCCGGACAGTAGAGGTGGACGGAGCCAGTTCTCCAGAGAACATCGCCAAACTACTGTTGCATCTTTACCAGAACCCTCAACCTACCTATTCCTTCATTTGTAAGTTACGCCATTAAATAAATCTCCTTTTAACTACGAGTTGGAGTGGCCTTAATAATTTCACCAATATCTGGTGCCCAATGTGGGGCACGAACCCACGACCCTGAGATTAAGGGTCTCATGTTCTATTGACTGAGCACTGATTGGCCAGTGAACAGGCAGGAAGTATAGGCGGGACAAGGAGAGAGGAGAATGGAGGAAGGAGGAAGGAAAGGGAGACTGCTGGAGCCGCCGCCAGGACAAGGAAGATGTAAAGTACCGGTAAGCCACGAGCCACGTGGCAAAGTAAAGATGAATAGAAAAGGGCTAAATATAAGAGTAAGAGCTAGACAATGATAGGCCTGAACTAATGGCCAAGCAGTTTAAATAATGTAAAAGTCTGTGTGTTTATTTTATAAGTGGGCTCCGGGACTGGCGGGAGCTGGAGAGAAATTTTCCAGCAACACACATCAGAACACACCTTACCTGTGGTGATATTTTATTTGTGCTGAAATGTGATATTTTATTTGTATGTTAATAAATAAAGTTTGCCTGGAGATCAGAGGTCATAGCCAGCCATAAAGAGAAATCGGGTGGTGGTAGCACACACCCTTAATCCGATCACATGGCAGGCAGAGTCTCTGTGTGTTCAGGGACACAGCCAAGCATGGTGACACAGGCCTTTAATCCCAGTACCAACCATAAAGATCTGGAGGTCTGTATAGACAGGCAATGACGAGGAAGTGAGGGGGCTGGGTCAAGAGCCAATGAGAAGGCAGAATAGCAAGGCAATAAAGGCACAGGTTAGACAGGAAGAAGTCTCTTGGGAAGCAACAGCGATGTGGTGAACTAAGGTTAGTTGGTGGCTATTGCTCTGATCTCTATGGCTTGTACCCCTGTATTTGGCTCTGTGTTTCTTATTTAATAAGACTGTTTAGAAATTCGTCTATACTTACCCCCTCCCAGTTATCCTTTATTCTGCTTTTTGGAGTGTTCGGCCCTGATGTTTGAGATGGTGCTAGGAAATTATTAACTCTAGTGATTCTCATGATCAACGTGTCCTAACATCTTCAGGGTTTTATTAGATAAACTGAACACACAGCAAATAGTTATTTAAGTAATGCACCCTGAAGGGATGGGTATTAGGGGGCAGGGCTGGACTGGAAAATTGTGTGTTCTCATGTGTCCTGGTTAGTTTTTTTTTTTTTTTTTGTCAACTTGACACAAACTAGAGTTATCTGGAAAGAAGAAATTCAACTGAGGAAATGATCGTCAGATGGCATGTAGAAAAGTCTGTAGGGGATTCTGTTGAATAATATTTGGTGTGTGATATAGCCTAGTTCACTGGGATAGTGCCACTCATGGGCTGGTGGTCCTGGGTGGTATAAAAAAAGCAGGCTGAACATGCCATTGGGGCAAACAGTAGACAGCATTGCTCCATGGTTTCTGTCAGTCCTGCCTCCAGGATCCTGCTTTGAGTTCCTGTCGTGGCTTCTCTCAATGGGCTGTGATGTGTAAGTCAAATAAACCTTTTCCTTCCCAAGTTGTTTTTGGTATTGTTCTTATCATAGCAATGGAAGGCAACTAAGACATATCAGTAAAACACCACGGGCTCATAACTAGGTTTTCATTAAAGTCTTTTTTGGTTAAAATATCTGGAAATAAAAGAAAAATTCACTTTTAAAATGAATTAGTATAGGAATACTAGATGTTTTATTCATTTTGTATTTACTTTTCAAGAGATAAATCTTAAGGCTATTGGCTATACTTCTGGAAAAGTATTAATTAAAATATATAACTAAATTGCCATGTATAGTAGAAGTCTTGTCGCATAACAATCTTGGGTAGATGGGATTTTGAAGAAATGGAGCAAGTCAGCTAGCTTTGGTCTTCAGTTGTGTTAAAAAGCTTCGATGTGAACGTCGTGTTATTAGAAGGGAAGCTGGAGAAAGAAGTTCTAGCCACTTGTCAATTATATCATCACCACAGTGCGCACCCCTGAAGAGAGAGGTGCAGTGTGAGGAGGAAAGATTGAGCTGTACTCACCTGCTGAGAAGGACATAATAGTTTACATTCACATTAAGAGATGGGGCTAAGATATGCTCTTCCCTACTAGAAAATTCAGGAAGAGTAATGATTTTACAACCACACCCTAAAAGAGAGAGTAATTCATTGAAAGTCTATTTTCATCTAATTATTTCTGTATGGCTATAGATACTGAATATTACACTGATTCTTAAAATTTCCACCCTTCAGCACTGAGTGAGAACAGTGTGATGACATATTCACACAGTTAGATTTTTAAAGTAATGGAAGTGTATGATTTTAATTCTAATAATAGAAACATGTTGTTATTAATAAAAAGCCAAAACTAGCCAAGAAGGTTGCTAGGCTTAGAATACTCCCTTTGATTATGTCCAAAGATCCTAAAGAAGGTGTGTGGGAAAGACTTTAACAAAACTCAAAACTATCCTTATCTTTAATGGTATTAATAATTGATATTCAGTTTTTTATTCAGTGCCTGATGTATATACAATATTGCATAGAATACTTGGGAAGAATGCAAAATCAGTAAAGCATGGTGTTTTCTCTCAAAAACTTGAAAACCTAATAACAGAAATAAATATTAAGAATTTGTAGTGTTCTCTTGCATTCTTATTTAACATTGTGTCCCTGGAGTTCAACCGAATGTTTTAGATTCAGTAATACAGGGGCAACAGAAGTGATGCTCTAAAACAGAGATGCCCAAAATATTATAGGTGAGCCCTACAGTGAAAATTTGGGCAAATATTTAAAGAGTTGCTTGTAAAGGACACATGGACGATTAAGGATGAAGGCTGTTGGGGAAACATTGGACACAGTTGGCAATACACTTGGAGAAAGGGATGGAGATGGATTCACGACTTTGGGATTAAACTGTGTGAATGCAGATGATCCCAGATGATGCTGAGAAGTGATAATGAGCCTCTGTTTCACCAGAAGCACTGAATGCATTATTCTATGGAATATGGAACCAAGGTAGACTTTAAGGGAAGAGTCAGAGTACAGTTGTGACTTTGGGAATCATGAGCTGGGAGGAGGAGGTCAAAGTTGGGTAAAGGGTGGGAAAATGTTCAGCAGATTAGGAGGACTAGACTAAAGAGCTGATATGGTAAATTTCCAGAGGTAAAGGGTAGTTTTGAGTGACATGACTAGGTGACTGGTTATATTAGCTTGCAGGGACAGAGAGCTGAATATATACCCCTGTGGATTTTATAGGGTAAGTTTCCATCTTTCCTATCCTCTGAAAGAATTTCTTACACAGGAGAGGCCCCTTCATGCATCCTTGAGCACAGCTACATAAAATAAATTGGATTAAATGGAATCTATTTTACAATTCAACCTCATATTTGTTGGTGTTAAAAAAACGAATTTGACAAGGCACTTTCAACTAAAGACTGATGAGTCACAAATCTCCAGGCAGTAACCTCGGGACCTAGGGTAAATTTCTCACCATTCTTTAGCACTTGTCAGAATCCAGGCTGATGTCAAAAGCTTTCTAGGGTTAGGGAAGGTAGCAGCCTCTACTGTGCTGTGTGATGAATACGACACAGATGCTGTGCATCTGACAAACTAATTGTATCGACGTAGTCAAGAGCAGCAATTCTGTTTTATTTTTCCCTTTTTCTTCTTTCCATGTGAGGTAGCAAACCCTTGTCCTTATGACTTAGCACATGATAGACATACCACTAATATCTCATATTGATTATGTTTTTGATAACTAGAAGTTCTTTGAAATGCCCTTCCCATAGTTACTCTGTGAATGTTCCTTCTTGGACATGCTAGCACAAAATACTTGGAGTGTTGTAGTTAATGGTCTAGTACTTTGTACTCTATCTGCTCACCTAAGATCCTTACTTAGAGGTTAGTTGGGCTTTGTCCTGAACCTTCTCATTTTATTAGTACTGCTTATAGTAGTTTTGGAAGTGAATTACATTTTAGTAACAAAATAGACATGAAGGAAGCTTATCTTCCAGAAAATAACTCCGAATGCTTTCAATAAACTCAGTAGATGTGAATTACTACAAATTGTTGTCCATTGGGTATAAAAAATAAATACCAAAATATAGATTAAAATATGTACTTTGAAAATATTTATGCTCTCTATTCTTTTTAAAGAAATCCAAACCAGAGGTTGTAGGCAATTTCCAATAGATAAATTAATTATGAAAATGCAACAGCAAATCCAGTCAGTAGGTATTTGTACCATTAAAATTGCTTTGAATGTACACCAAAATAACACATATTTATTTGGTTCTAGATTAAAGAATGTGTTTATGGAAAATATATAGCACTTAAAAAAATTAGCCTGACGTCAGTGGGTTGGATGAGAAGCCATTGCCTTTTCTATTTTCTTTCTTTCTTTTTCTCTTTGGAGCAACATGCTTTAATGTCATCCTTGCTTGCACTTCAACAGGGCCATGGACATTCCTGTCTCCTTGACAACCCCTTCTATCACATCACTAGGTTATAGCCTTTACTACCATCATGGCCCTGGAGAGAGGCATTAACTTTCTCAAAGGGACATTCCATTGCATATTTATAGCTCCCGTTACGTAATAAACCATTTTGAACAGAGAAAGGAAATGGAGGGGAGATATTTTGAAGACATTGCAGAGTATTATTAAATGACAGTCACTTGGGAGCACAGGAACCAACTAGGCTCGCCCACTGCTCAGCCATGTTATGCACTGATGACCAACTACAACCTATGGAATCACAGAGTGTTTACCTTTCTGGCTTGTTTTTAGCGTTTTGAAGCAGTGCTATATGAAA